TTAAATAACAAGAATTCACTAACGTATGCTTTCAATGGTAAGACCGAGCTGACGATGTAAGGCATTGTTTCAATTCCTAAACAATGGAGATATAAGGAGATAATCCATAGTCAACTCCCTCGAGCCAAGAGTTGGAGTTTTTTTTTTTTTTTCAAAAAAAAAAAACTTAAATTCAACCAGGGGCAGGGTAGTCTTTCAATTAATTCAGTAGTGCATTCAAATCTCAAGAGAATCAAGCCATCTAAGCAAAGGTTCAAGCATATCTCCATCCTCGATACATCATTGAGGAAATGATCTAAGCAAAGGTTCAAGCACATCATCTTCCTTGCGCACATCAACAAAGATTGAGGAAGCAATCAATAAAGATAAAGTTCACGACGTCTTCTTCCTCAATAAATCATTAAATATTGAGTAAACAATAAAGCCGAAGCTTACAACAATCAGCATGGCGGTCGCAAGTTTTCAAAATCGAAAAGAAAAAAAAAGGGAATTTAAAAAATAAAATAAAGGCCGCTAGGTCAAGTAAAAATCGAAAAAAAACTTGAGTTAGGCAAAAATAAGGGATTAAAATAAATAAATTGGAGAACAATCTTGTGACTGCCACTTCAAGAATCATCAAGGGCTTCTCATCAATGTTTGGATCTTATCAATGCTTTTCAACAATGCTTGGATCATATCAATACTTTTCACCGGTGCTTGGATCTTTATTTACGCTTCTCATCACTGCGCGACTAAAAAAATCTATACCAGCCTAACTTTAGCTAGGTTTTTATAGATGGTTTTAATTTCACATATCTAAAGAATCACATTTGAGAGTATTGGAATGACTGTTCTATCATCGATAGAAACAGAAGCAAACCTGATTGCATGGCTTTAACTTTAAACTTTTCACACTGAAGAAAAGATACAAGATATATTACATCAATGCACCAACTTTTAAGATTAGTCTATCCAAATATCCGTACAAATAGAAAAGAAAAAAAAGATATCATTGTCACCCTTACTCATCCATCTCTACGTTTAAACTCGACATTAAACTTTCCTCAATTAGAAAGAAATAGACACAAAACAAAAGCAAGCAACTACATACAAAGCAAGGCTAATCTACTATTTGATGGATACTGATCTGCGTCAAATAAGATTTGTCCAAAAATTTCCATATTAGTATCTTTTGAGGTATGGAAAAGAGAAACCATGACTTTACCTTAAGCTGACTGTGGAACTGCAAATTGCGGAGCATCAGAATGGTAGATTACAAAGTAGCAGAACGGAGCAGCACATTGATAGATTGCATAATTGTGGATAGGAAAGTGGGTAAAAATGAAGGTTCTAACTATTGTTAAGGTTGATTTTAGGGTTCGATATTGACATGGATACATAATAGGTGTGATTCAAACTTCAAATAATTGTTAGGGTTTCAAATTAAATGACTTCTTGGATTCGATTGAGAAGATAGATTGAAAACGGCAGAAAGGAAAAAGGGAAAGAAATAACTTAATCGACTGACCCTTAGAGAGGAAAAAGGGGAAAGAGGGAAATGAATTGAGTGAATATTGAAGAGAAAGGAGGTGAAACAAAAATCTCAGACTTTTTTAAATTTTTTTTTGAAATGGAATAAGATGAAAGGGAAACTTAGATTTTCCTTTACTTTTATTTCATATTGGGTAAAATATTTATATTTTACATAATATTGATTAAATTTATTAGGTAAATGAGTGAAGCAGAATATTTTAAAAAGTAAAAAGAGGAAGCGTGGAAACAATATGTGTGCTACGTGTGAAAAAGTTTAAATCAATTAAATAAATTAGGGCGGTTGAAACCGCCATATTATTACTAATATTACGTGAATAGTGGCATTTTCAAATAAACGCCTTAAATAAAACGCTATAATCTATGCGTTTTTTTGTAGTGTCTTTAGCAGGTCATACCTTAAACTCCAGATTTTAAACAGGTTACAGTTTAATTGTTCAAGTCTGGCTGTTTAATGACCTCGGTTAATCGGACAAGCCCTTTAATTAAAAAAACAATAGTATTTTTTTTAAAACTAAACTAAAAAAATTACTAATAAACCATAAACTAAAAAGTAAAACATATATAAGTATTGAACACTAAAAATAATATAACTCAATTACATATCTAACGTCTAAAATAAAATATCTTAAAAATCAACTATGCAATTAAATAATCAATTATTTATACTATTTTGATTTAGAATTAAATTTCAATAAAATTTATTTATAAATAATTATTGATAAACTAAATCAAATTAAATCAAATAAACTAATATTTTAAACTAATATAAGGTGTGTTCATACATATATATATATATATATATATATATATATATATATATATATATATATATATATATATATATATATATATATATATATATATATATCAATAAGCAATTGAAATGGTATCTTCATTAAAAAATAATATAGATGATCTTATCGGTTAATCAGAACCTGAAAGTGGGCCTTGATGATGGCGTTTGCTTGGCTGGAAATATGAGGAGAGGAGGGAGTGTACTTGTAAGGCACTCCGACGATCAAGTAAGAATGGGTGCAAAGAGAAACAAGAAAGATATTAGAGTTTTTAGTATGAATAATGGATACCTAGAACTCACAAGTGTGAGGGTTTATATAATTCTCCCAGCGCATAGCCATTGGTTCCTATTTTTGGACCTAGATATTTGGGTCCGCGAAAATAGGTAACTGTCAGGACTTGGTCAAAATGGGAAGTCGTGCCCGTAACTAGCCGTTGCTTCGGGCAAGGTCATATGACGGGCAGACGCGTCTCGAGCGCCTTCCTGGTTATCTACTCAACGAGTAGCGAGCAAACCTTGAATTGGTCATTGATGCGGGCAGGCGTACGATCAGGGCATCAAAATCCTTTATATATCTACGGTGCGATTAATCAAGTGTGCTCGAATGGAGATCAGAGTTAGTTGGCCAAAGCTATTTGGGCCATTCTGAGGTAGAAGCCGATTAGGCCAATTCTGGTCATTGGGCCAGTCCATAACAGGAGCCCCCCAAGTCGTACCTTCTGGCATGAGGAGTGGCGACTTAAGACGTGCCCGCAGAATAAAGGGGGTGTTTCTCAGACGACTTCATGCGACGAGTTCGAGCGATGCTTGGTGTGTCCGTCTCACGGGGAGAAGAACATTTTAGTGGACCTTGAGTGGTAGTGTGCCATGCTTGTATCGAGCAACGTGTTATTATAAAAGTAAGTCTTCGGACTAGGGCGTAATGATGGCAACTCTTAGGTTCCTCTAGGTGTGTGCCGACTCACGTGCTAGCAAAGTTTGTCTATATAAGGAAGAGAGGAAGCTTTATTTTCACTTTTCACTTTCTCTTTCTCTACTTGTCTCTGGTTTTTGCATGACACTGTTGTTCTCCACCAAAGTTCTTTCTCTTTCTGCCGTTCACCGCTGTAATTTCTGCCCGTTCTGCCGCTAGTCTTCCCTAAACTGGTAAGTTTCTTGTTTTCCTTCTGTTTTTGCCAAAATGTTCCCTGTTCTAGGTTAGATTTTAGGTTGCGATTTTAGAGATGCATGCAGTTAGGGGTAGATTAACTATAAATTGGACGACTCTCAGTGGTTCTGCCGCTTGGGAATGTTGGCTCCGCCGCTGAGATGTTTCGTAACTCCTGGTGGTAGGGCCGGTGATGGCGGTTTGTGATGAACTTTTTGGAGAAATTGGACCGTTCCCTGGGTTTCTGCTTTGAACTTCCCGAGTTTCTGATGTTTAATTGGATGAGGTCCAAAACCATTTGACGGGGAAGGAACCTTACCCGCGTGAGCTAGGATTTATCCAGAAGGTCAGGCGCCTAGTACGTTAGATGTGATTATCCTCACGTTGATTTCTGTTGTTTTGAGTGAGGGCTCTGGTCGGGGACAGGGTCCTCGTTCGCGTCATTTCACTTGTTTAGCGGTGGAAGGGTGAATTTGATTCGATGTCGAATTCATTTTTGTCCTCTTCTTTTCAGGTACAATAGCCACCAGTAGTGAAGACGACCTTATGAGCAAGCACATTGGTTCTGTGGTAAGTTCATCTAGGGGCACGTCAACTGGGGAGAGTACCTCAGAGACGCGTGATTCTGATCAAGGCATACCTGAACAAGGTGCGGACGCGCAAGAAGAAATGAGAGACGAGAGATCCTTGCAGGACAGTGTTCCTAAACTCGTTCTGAAGGAAGGCATTGGTACTCTATATAATGGAAATGAAAAATTGTTAAAATAAAAACTAAAGTTGTTTTACTCGCACAAACAAATGTGTTTAATTGTTAATGTACATTTGAGCAGGGTTTTAAAACATATTCCGCGGTCGTGAAAACAGTCGCGACAAAACGGTTTTGAAAGATATCGATATTGATATCATTATCACTGTTTTTTATATTGAAGAATAAATAGTGGTTAATTCACACCGCGACAAACGCAATACACTTGTATCGACCGAAATCAAGAAAGTCTTTACGCGACCGTGACACGACTACGACTGTTTTTTAAAATCTTGCGTTTGAGTAAAGCTAATTTTAAACTTGTGTATCATATCTAAATGAACTACATGCTATTAGTGTGGTGTCGCCGTGAGTTTAACTTATGTGATTGGGCATCATATTGACCGTTTTGACTTTGTGTCAAGTTTAGAGATAGGTGTACATATTATATCCGACAATACTCGTTTTCGTATTTAGTTTCGTTGTCAAGAAGTTTGATTCGTTCAATTTTCAAACCTCAAGTTCAAACAAATTACTCAGTCAAAACGAAATTCAAAAACTAGTACTAGTACTTTGGCTATCTACTTTTCTTTCTCTCTATATATATGTTAGTGTGTTACATAGAATATCATTCCCGCCATCAAACCACTGCGAGTAGCAAATAAAACTTGTCCTTATTGAAGATATCATTACATCATACATAAGCAAAACCAGAAACTTCATTTATAACTATTTTTTCCAAAGTAATTATATTAATACAAGTTAAAAACATCATAGGCATGGCTTTTTGTTATAGTAACAGGAAGATCTTTTTTAAGGTTCTTGTAATCCTTTTCTTCATTCTGGTCGTTTCTTCTCAGCTTGGATTTGGCAGCAGGCCTTTGCAAGATCAAAGATTAATGTTGAAGGAATTTGATGGACTTTTGTTGCAGTTCCTTCGTGGCCCTTCAAAGCCATCAAAAACAGATCCTATTCATTCCTAATCAATCGACCTTGCTGGCTGCACATATAGTCTCTGATGGCTGCACATATATGAGAGTTTGTTCACATTCTTTTTCTAACTGTTTTGTTTTTCATAGCTTACTCATGTAGTTTCTGTATATTTTTCTGAACAAAGATCTTTCATAATATTTAAAGAAATATTAACGAAATAATTTGATATAAACACTCACTCTTTTATATATATATATATATATATATATATATATATATATATATATATATATATATATATATATATATATATATATATATATATATATATATATATATATATATATATATATATATATATATATATATATATATATATATATATATATATATATATATATATATATATATATATATATATATATATATATATATACTACAAGAATTAGCTTGGGGTAACTTCCTTTAAAAAATAACTTAAAAAAAAGTTTTAAATTTGGTATGGCTACACTACTAAAAAAAAGATATTTGAGAAAATGTTTTTACATCGGGTATCAAAATATATGATGTAAAAAATACAATTAACAAACTTTTTACATCAGGTATTTATTTGCAATGATATAAAAAATATGAAAAAAAATATATTTCGCTACCTATTACATCGGGCAAACGCATCCACCGATGTAAAAAGTTTTCAGAAAAAAATACGGTGGCATTTTTGTAAATAAGAAACAAGGTAGTAGAAATATTAATAAAAAACATGCAACATATTACATCGGTTGACTAAAAACCGATGTAATATCTTCACAACAGATATTAATATAAAAAATAAATTAAAGAATAAATTAAAGAATAAATTAATTTTTTTGCAATTTATTACATCGGGTATTACAATGCACCGATGTAATAGGTGCATTGTAAAAAAAAAGTCAGAAAAAAAAGCTTGCCAACCCTTACATCGTGTATTACATGCACCGATGTAATAGGTGCATTGTAAAAAAAAAAGTCATAAAAAAAAGCTTGCCAACCCTTACATCGGGTATTACAATGCACCGATGTAATAGCTTGTCAACCCTTACATCGGGTATTACAATGCACCGATGTAATAGGTGCCAAACCCTTATTTCCCAAACAGTAGAAAAATTACAACTCCATCGTTATTCTTCCACCACTCCATCGCGCCGCGCCCTGTTCTAAAAAACTGTCTTCCTCAACCTCGCTTCCGATTCCGATTCTGCATGCCCGCCCGATTCCGATTGCCAACCGTCTTCATCACCATCACCGCGACTGCCTTATAACACCGCCACCAACACCGAGTTCACTGCACGACACCCGCGATCCGCCTTCTAACCACCGGCCAAGAAGTCGCTGCGGTAAAACCCCTTTTCGGTAATATTCTTTGACCGCCGTTTCGGCCGCCGTTTCCGGTCTTCCTCTTCGACCTCCGTTTTCGGTCCACAACTTAACAATTCACCAAACCCCATCTTCCTCTGGTTGTGACAAGTGGGGTCAATATTCTTCTCTCTCCCCACCGCTCGATTCTAGCCTCCGGAAAGGTGGGTGGATGAGCATTGGCTTCCAGATCTTGCGTTCCAAGTTCTTTTCCGCGGTTTCCTCTATTCGGAACCCTGGAGGGGCAATTCGGTCATATGGGTTACCAGCGGCCATGAAGGTAATCATAGTCGTGATGTTGATGAAGAGGAAGGAGAGTAGGAGGAACCTCACACCCAATCAGTCCCGTCTTCTGCAAATCATTCTGGAGAAAGATGGGGTTCGTTCTAATTCTATTTCTTTTCTTTTTTGCATTTTCTTTTTCATTAAAATTTCAGCATTTTTATGCATTTATGCTATGTTACATTACATATCTATATTATGCAGTTGGCTAGTATACGATAGTTTAAATTTCTATGGTTCTTCCTTAAGATAAAGTTATACATGTTTATAGATACTAAACTTAGTAACTTTAACTAATGCAACAAGCTACTTGTTTCAAAAATTATACTTGTTTCAAGATTCTATTAATACTTCTTATTATATAAGTGTTTTTCCCTATAGCGGCCACTATAGTGTTTTTCATTGCTAAGACTCTTTCCGTAGAGGCCAGCCTCTGCTCTGCTATAGTGGATAGCGCTGCTATTGACTTCTCTGCGCATGATAACCTTGTCTTGTTTAATATTTTGTTTTCTTGTCTTGTTTAATATTTTGTTTTATTCTGCTCGGCTACATTCTTCTCTAGATTGAGTCCGTAGTTTGCATTTTTGCAGTGTGCACAAATAGAAGATCCAATATTTTGATCACGTTTGTCTGTCTTAGTTTCTATTAGTTCATTGACCTCTACAAATACAATCATGTTTGTCTTTCTCTGATTTCTGTTTATTCATTCACTCACTTGAAGCCTTTTTCTTTTTGGAGATTCTTGACTGTCCTCTATTTCTCTGGTGTTTGTTTGCTGACTCTGATTGTTTTATTTACAGAAAATTGCCCAACTTTTGCACCAGATTGCACAAATGAATGAAATACTGATAGATAGTCACAAAGCTTTGGCTGGAAAAGTGGTTAAATGATTGGCTAAGGTTCGTGAACACGTTAGCTATTGTAAAGCACATTCATGAAGGGTTTTCTTCATTACACTTAGAATTACCACTACTTACAGTTGTACTTGCAATTTGTTTGGTTCTACAGGTGTTAGTTAGGGATGTAAATTGACTAAAAAGAACTAGTTGTGGTTCTCGGTGTATATTCTCTGCGACAAAAGAGTGGATCAAATATGAACTAAGAAGTGTTTTCATCTCAAAACATATTCAAAGATAATGGCAAGTGAATGAATTGCAAACTTGGGGTTTTTATCATTAATACCGAAAAACTAACCGTCCTCAAGCTGCCATGATTTGTGAATGATCGATCCTTTCGGTGGCAGACCATGGAATTTAGGTAGGGAAGCTAGTAGAGCACACTCTTAAAAAAATGTGCATAATAACTGTTTCTTACATCGGTTCATATATTATAACCGATGTAAAAAAGAGACTTTTTACATCGGGTATTACTTCCAACCGATGTAAAAAACTGGATCAATTTTTTAAAAAATGTGCATAATAACAGGTTATTACATCGGTTATGATATTATAACCGATGTAAAAAAGGAACTTTTTACATCGGTCCCAGAATCGATGTAAAAAGTCCCTGATTTACTATATCGCCTGACTTTACATCGGACCCAGAACCGATGTAAAAAGTCAATTTCACCCGATGTAAAAAGTCATTTCTGCACTAGTCGAGTTTCCCGTAGCTAAATTTTAGGAGAGAATTTGAAAATAATTTGTTGGACGCTTGCGGAGGGGTTGCACTTGGGAAAAAGGAAATACCATTAGCGAGGGGGATCACCTCGCCCTACAAAATAGTCGTTGACCATTTGCGAGGGAGTGATTACCTCGCCAGCTAAGTTGGATTTTTGTGAGGGGCTACCCCCAAGCCCACTGTCACGTCACATCTTCTACTCCGCTCCATCTCTGAACCGGCCTGCGTGTTGCAGAGTGGCTACAGCTTTTTGACAGCTAGCAAGGAGCTAGCCCCAAGCCACGTGACAACTTATGTTTCCAAGAATCCGGTGTCGTTTGTCTTGCGATTGTAGTTTATAGTTCTTCGTTTATCTTCCATTCTATTCATTTCCAGAGCTACAACCCTCCCATTTTCAAATTCGTCTTTATTTTTTTCTCCATTAACACTACTATTTTACTCCATTTGGAAGCTTTATTTTTTTAATTCAAAGGTAATAAAGTTATTTCTATATGTTATTTAAGATATATGTTGTTATATTAATTTATAAATTCTGATTTTTGTTGGATTAAATTTGTAGGTATTTATTATATTTTTCTCCATCAATACTAGTTTTGTTTAATAAAGCTTCTTTATAAGGTACGTAATTTATTACTATTTTTTTGTTGAAATTTTTTTTAATTATATGTTAGATTTAGGTAAATTGTTGGAAGCAGTGTAGCGGCAAGTAACAAAAGTTTTGGAAATATTCATCCGGAAATTTATCGTGTCCACAGAGATTGGTTGTTGAATTGTCGTTCGACAAATCTCTCGTTAATGACTTTGGGGATAAATGAGTTTTGTAAAGAAAATGTTATTAACAGAAAATAAATATAAACAAAAGTAAAAACTAAGGAAGAACTTATCAAGCCTGCTTATAATCTACTCATCACAGACTTAAATCTATTGACCAGTTACATTCAACCTAACAATACTCATCAATGTCACCATGTATCACTCACAACCTAAGTCATTTCTAACCCAAATTGAGAGACCGACTATATCACCAAGGAAATGATCTCTCTACCTCCTCAATAACACATAATACAACTATGTAATCGCACAAACGATCTCTCAGTACAACACAACCACACATAGGCATTAAGCTCTGATACCTAAGTATATGTCGGCTCTAAATCTATCTCTAGAGTTCAGAAACTAACAGATAATCATCCTAGATAAGAATCTAAGTAGTATATGTCTATAAAAATTCAAATCCCTATCACGGAGCAAAAGTCTAAGACAACAATCCACAAAGATTTGTAAAACAAGTTTTATATAACATCATGGGCGACATATATACATAAGTTCAGAGTAAATACATGTACAAACTGAACACATAAAGAATACACAAAGAGGAAGAGAAATGAACCATAAATCTACCAGTTTGTCAGTGTCGATTGATGAGCAATCCATCCCGGATCATCCGTATGCAAGCTTCAATGTTGTTTTCTAAGCTAATCCTATCCAAAAATGAAGGTTGATGGAGTTGGGATAAAAAAAATACTCAAAACCATACCCAAAAAATGTGTTTTTACACCTAAATACGCATTTCTGACTGTCCAGCATCGCCCGATGACCAAAAAGCATTGTCCGGCGACCAAAACAACGTTTTTCCCACGCTACAACTCGCTTAGCATCGCCCAACGACCAAAAGCGTCGCCCGACGACGGATGACAGAAGGTTGAAAAACCAGCACAATATTCTGTATTGTTTCGGCCATAACTTTTGAACTGTA